ACATCCACAAAGCTACGTGGCTGTCTCCGGATCGAAAAACGAGAAACCAAATCGATCATGTTGTGATAGACTGAAGGCATGCTTCAAACGTTTTAGACGTATGTACACTCCGAAGGCTAAACATCGACTCGGACTACTATCTTGTTGTAGCCAAGATATGCACCCGCCTCTGTGCAGCAAAAAATGTGCGCCCAACAATGCAAGGAAAGCTTAACGTCGAAAAGCTGCAATCACAACAGACGGCCAATTTATTCGCCACTCGACTCACACACCTGCTCTCTGAGAGCACTCTTCAACAATCCGACGTACGCGAGCAGTGGCACCACATTTTCCATTCATTAAGTACCGCCGCCGAAGAAGCAGTTGGATTTCAGCGAGCCCGAAAGAACAACTGGTACGATGAGGAATGTCAAGAAGCCGCAGAGAAAAAAGATGCCGCCTATAGGGCCACGCTGCGATCGGGCGCGACGCGAGCCATGTGGGACCGTTATCGGGAACTGAAGAAGGAAGCGAGACATATTTGCCGCAATAAGAAGAGAGAGGCTGAAATACGTGAGTGCGAAGAGCTGCAGATGCTGGCCGACAGGAAGAACGCCGGAAAATTCTACCAGAGGGTTATGCGACTTGCGGAAGGTTTCAGGACCGGGAAGAAATCGTGTAAGAACAACAAAGGCGAAGCCCACCGTAAACGAGCTGATTGGACCTTATCAGTGATGCTTTAGGCCTGGAAAATCCACCATAGATCAGGTATTCACAATACGCCAAATCTTGGAAAAGACCCGCGAGAATAGGATCGACACACACCATCTATTTGTCGATTTCAAAGCCGCTTTCGACAGCACGAAGAGAAGTTGCCTTTATGCCGCGATGTCTGAATTTGGTATCCCCGCGAAACTAATACGGCTGTGTAAAATGACGTTGAGCAATACCACCAGCTCCGTCAGAATAGGGAAGGACCTCTCCGAGCCGTTTGATACCAAACGAGGTTTCAGACAAGGGACGAGCCGTTTGATACCAAACGAAGTTTCAGGCAAGGAGAAGATGGTAAGAGCCGCAGAACTGAACCGCTCAGGCACAATACTTTATAAGAGCGTACAATTGCTGGCGTATGCCGACGACATCGATATTATCGGTAAAAACAAGGGCTACGTCTGTTCTGCCTTCTCGGGATTGGATAGAGAAGCAAAGCGAATGGGTCTGGTGGTGAACGAGGACAAAACGAAGTATCTCCTGTCATCACACAAACAGTCAGAGCATACGCGTCTTGGCACCCACGTCACTGTTGACAGTTACAAGTTTGAAAAAGTAGACGACTTCGTTTATTTGGGAACCAGCATTAACACCAATAATAATGTCAGCCTTGAAATCCAACGGAGAATCACTCTTGCCAACAAGTGCTACTTTGGGCTGAGTAGGCAATTGAGAAGTAAAGTCCTCTCTCGTCGTACAAAGATCACACTCTATAAGTCACTCATCATGCCTGTGCTGGTGTATGGCGCGGAAGCATGGACAATGAAAGCATCTGATGAGGCGGCTCTTGGAGTTTTCGAGAGAAAGATTCTGCGAAAGATTTACGGACCTGTACGCGTTGTTGATGACGAATATAACAGGCGATTTAGTGCAGCGTATTAAAATTCAGTGGCTTGGTCATGTCGTTCGAATGGGCAGAAACGCTCCTGCTCTGAGAATATTCAACGCGGGCCACGATGCTGGTAACAGAGGAAGAGGAAGGCCTCCTCTGCGTTGGAAAGACCAGGTGGAGAAGGACTTGGCTTCACTTGGCATTTTCAATTGGCGTCAGTTAGCACAGAAGAGAAATGACTGGCGTGCTGTTTTGGACTCGGCCAAAATCGCTTAGGCGGTTACAGCGCCAANAAAGACCTCTTTCGCCGTACAAAGATCACACTCTATAAGTCACTCATCATGCCTGTGCTGGTGTATGGCGCGGAAGCATGGACAATGAAAGCATCTGATGAGGCGGCTCTTGGAGTTTTCGAGAGAAAGATTCTGCGAAAGATTTACGGACCTTTACGCGTTGGTGATGGCGAATATCGCAGACGATTTAACGATGAGCTGTATGAGCTTTACAACGATATAGACATAGTGCAGCGAATTAAAATTCAGCGGCTCCGCTGNGGTGGAGAAGGACTTGGCTTCACTTGGCGTCAGTTAGCACAGAATAGAAATGACTGGCGTGCTGTTTTGGACTCGGCCAAAATCACTTAGGCGGTTACAGCGCCAATAAAGAAGAAGAAGATTTCGAAAAACCTACATAAAATGGTGCAGCACGTCGGAGGTTGTGTGAAAGGATATTGAATGACAGTCTTTCTAAGAGAGAAAGGCAATCAATTCCGCCTACCAAAACGTTAACGAGAAAATTACAAGAAAGATAAGCACTACGACTGTGAATAGATTTATTTATCATTGTAATAAAAACACAACAACCATGAGTTATATTTCGAGTGTTTGATACTTAATTAGTATATAACATTAAACCAAATGGGAAAATATTTAAATGACCTATTGATAGGAACGTTATTTTCTACGCAAATACATTAAAAACTTACATAACTAGAGCGTAATAATAATATAAAAAATTAAGAGTTACAAAAGCCTGGGAAAGGAAATATTTAATAAGAAGAAATTACTGAATTGATAAAAAGGTAGTGAAAAATTAGAGATGAATAAAGGAGTAACTGGCAGATGATATATGTACACACTTGAGTAATCATTCCGTAAAAAAACGCATTAGTTCACTTCTGAAGTGCAATGTGCTTTTTACGCCCCTGATTTTCAAGGGTAAAGTATTCCATAGACGGACTGCAACACAAAAAAATGGCGCTCAGATNAATTCCGTAAAAAAACGCATTAGTTCCCTTCTGAAGTGCAATGTGCTTTTTACGCCCCTGATTTTCAAAGGTAAAGTATTCCATAGACGGACTGCAACACAAAAAAATGGCGCTCAGATACTTTCGAATTAAAGGTCGTATAAAGCAATTGCGATGAACGCGCTGATCGAGTTGCTTGAAATCGTTCATAGAGGTAAGAGAGATTCTGGTTTACCAATATTTTATGTAATTGTATTAGAACCTTGAGTTTCAAATAGTTATTAAAGGAGATTGAATATATTCCTATAGCATGTTCGGAGATGTGATCTCTGCACTTAATACCAAAAATGTATCGGAAAATATTATTAAATAAGACATTGATCTTTCTGTTACACGTAGTATCGCAATTAGCATACAGTTCGCAACCATAAAGCATGGTTGGAAACAAGTATGTCTTGACTAAGAGCAGTCTGATTTTAATTGGTGTAAAGTACTGGAGAATCCATAAGGAGCGCAACATTCCGTACACTTTGCCTATTACTGTAAAAATGTGGTTCTTCCATGTCAATGTTCTGTTGAAAGTCACGCCCAGGTTTTTGGCAGCATCAACGAAATTTATTACCGAATTGCCTACCATTATTTTTGAATAATTGTCTAGCTCAAAGTGTTTTTTTGTAAATTGTAATCCACTGGGGCTTGCTCGGATTCAATATTAGGCCATTATCAGTAACCCAGCCATTTACTCGACACAGATCAGCATTAAGATTACGTATTCAGGCATTAATTGATTTTAGTGGGCAATCCAGATATAATTGCACGTCATCTGCGTAAACATGCACTTTACAATGTTGTAGNTGTAAATTGTAATCCACTGGGGCTTGCTCGGATTCAATATTAGGCCATTATCAGTAACCCAGCCATTTACTCGACACAGATCAGCATTAAGATTACGTATTCAGGCATTAATTGATTTTAGTGGGCAATCCAGATATAATTGCACGTCATCTGCGTAAACATGCACTTTACAATGTTGTAGAATTTTCGGTAGATCGTTAACATATAAGACAAATAACAGCGGTCCAAGTATTGAGCCTTGCGGCACACCTTCAATGACGGACAAGAAGCTAGACACAGAGCTACCAACGCATACCGCTTGTGACCTCTCTTGGATATAAGATCTGACCAGGCTTACAGCTTGGGAAGAGAAATTAAAAAGATGGGTGAGTTTTAAGCAAAGTAATGTGTGGTCAACGGAATCAAAAGCCTTTGAGTGATCAAGCAAAGTTAAAAAAATGACATGATCTTTGTGCATATTCTGCCTTATATCGTCAGAGACTTTCAAAAGAGCAGTAATGTAGCTTCTGTTCGGCCGGAAGCCAGATTGATGAATACTAATAAGTGATTTTTTACTCATAAAGGTATTTATTTGGCGATGCATTATTCACTCTAGAACCTTCGAAAGGAATGGCAAAATGGCAACTGGTCTGAAGTCACCATTTGGTTTCAAAAGAGGGATAATTTTAGCTTTCTTCCAACAGCTCGGAAAGACGGACATTGTCAATATAGTGTTGAAAGTGTAGGTAAGGTAAGGGAGAATGAATGGCAATATACACTAAAATGAATTTAGGATGGATTCCGTCGAGACCAACGGCGTTGGATTTTACAGAAAGTATGGACTCAACAACATCACATTCACCCAGAGGAACATTATAACCATCATAACATATATTACTGCGAGGACGAGACAAATTAACAAACTTTGCATTTACTTCATCAACATTTACAGATTCAGTTGAGACAGAGATTTTACTGTCGATGCCAATTTCACGAATACGCTTCCATGTCTGCTTTGAGCTTACTGCAGTTCTGAATTGGTGCTCAAAATATTTCATCTTTTAGCATTTTATGGCCTTCGTAACTCTTCCTCTTATAGACTTGTACCCATTATGGGCTGTGTCGGACTTCAATTTCTTCCAGGTTTGATACGCACTATTCCTATCATCAATCAATTTTCTTATATAGGTGTTATACCATGGACGACTACCATGCCTGCTTGGTTTTGTAATTAGAGGGACACATGTCTCGAATAGTGTGTTAATATTTGTCTGAATGAAATTAATGCTTGGTTTTCATTAGGTCAAAATCACTGACATCAAAAACTGCCTTCATCTGACAGCTGTTCATTTGGTGTCAAATGCGTTTTCATTACATTTAAAAAACTGACCAAATGTCGATACCGCAGTGCATGTCAAATACTATCGTCAAATTTCGGGGTCAGATGATTGACATTCCGTTTTCATTAAAGGTGCCAAATCCGAAGATGACATTTGATCAGCTGATAAGAGGAAAATTAATGAAGTGTGAAATACGAAATTAATAAACATATTAAAAGAAAAGGCAAATTACACATAAATAATGAATAGGAAAAAGACCATCGCAATAGCTTGTGCGGCACTTTGCTTGGTAACTACCTTAAAAGCTTGGAAAGAGAAAAGGAGGCAACTGAGGAAGGTAAAGAAGTGGTGGATCAGACCAGGTCTGAGAAATAGAGACCGCTGTGGGTTTTATACTACGCTGCGTTCCAAGCTAGAAATTCAGGACCCAAAGTGGCTGAAAAATTTCCTCAGAATGAAGGTAGAAGATTTTGACTATCTTGTGGAGCGCCTCACGCCATACATCTGCAAAAAAACAACGAGTTTTAGAAAGCCAATATCTGTCGGAGAAAGACTAGCAGTGACTTTGCGTTACTTGGCAACCGGGGATAGTTTTTCCAGCTTGATGACAGTTTTTCTATTGGGGAAAACAACCATTTGCCACATTATACACGAAACTTGCGCTGCACTTTATGCGATCTTAAAAGACGAGTTCCTAAAGGTTAGTTTTAGTAGATATAATCAATTTATGTTAATCCGAAAAATAATTTAAACAAGTGCAGAGAAGTGAATTCTCACCCCGGAAAAAATAAAGTGGGCGTGCCCCGCCCCTTTTTCCTGATTTCAAGGGTATATAACATTTCTCGTACAAATTAACATCTAGAGATTAGTGGCCCACTTAAATAAAAAATGTTACATTACATATATTTCATAAAGATTCCGAGCACTACGGAAGAATGGGTAACAGTCGCTGACCGTTTTGAGCAAAGGTGGAATTTCCCCAATTGCTGCGGAGCACTTGACGGAAAGCACATAGCCATTCAAGCGCCTGCACACTGTGGATCAGAATATTTTAATTATAAGAAGTTTAACAGTATTGTCCTGATGGCTATGGTAGATGCTGACTACAAATTTTTGTTTGTGGAAGTCGGAGCGTATGGTCGAGAATCTGATGGCGGAGTTTTCGCAAGGTAAGATCTCTTCAATATGTTGCTAAATAATCCTAACATTTCCACTTTTTATTTGAAACGATTTCTTTTCATTTCAGATGCCCACTTTCGGCAGCTCTTGCTGATAATAGCATTAATTTTCCGACTCCGAGGCCACTTCCACATGAAGCGGACCCTATGCCATTTGTAATAGTGGCTGATGACGCTTTTCCTTTGAAAACTTACTTGCTGAAACCATTCAGTTATCGCGAGCAAGTTATGTCATATAAAATATTCAATTACAGGCTATCACGAGCAAGAAATGTAGTAGAAAATGTGTTCGGCATATGTGCATCGCGTTTCCGAATTCTCAGAAGGCCAATGGACGTAAAACCGGATTATGCAAAAGCTATTGTCCTCGCGATTTGTGTCCTGCATAATTATCTCTTAACACGCAAATCAGTATACATGCGGAGATCTGACGTCGACGATGATACAAATGGCGTTGCTGTGCGAGGTAATTGGCGAACGGAGTTGGGGGAAAACGGAATGCTTCCATCAATTAGCCCCAGCAGCATTTTAGGTAGGCCAGCAGACAACGCAATAAATGTGCGTGAAAATTTTATGGAGTACTTCTTAACACCCCACGGTGAAGTTGGATGGCAATACAATAGGACGATACTGCATAACTCATTTTTGTAGTTTACCCACTTAGAATAACAAACAAATCACATGATATCTAAAAAACTGCAACAA